ACTAGGAAACCCAAGTGTTTATCAACTTAATGAATGAATGAATAAAAGGTAGTACAACTATATAGCAGAGTATTACTCAACAGCAAGAAGGGGGAGTGGGATACTGATACATACTACAAGATGATAACCCTTGAACATTACACTCAGTGGAAGACAGACAAAAAAAGACACTAGGTTGTACAATTCCATTTTTATGAAATGCCCATGTGGATAAATCTGTAGAGATGACAAGTACATAGGGAGAGAGAAAGACCACTAATGGGTAGTTTCTTTTGAGGGAAAATGAAATGCCTAAAGATACTGTGACTGTGGCTCCACAACTTGGTCACTATACTATAAACCACTGAATTGCACACTTAAGTAGGTTAACTGTATAATATATAAATTATCAATAAAACTTTGAAAAAGTAGCTTAATAAAAATTACTGTATATTGGCCCTCCCTGGTAGCTCAACCGGTTAGAGCACAGCACTGTAAATCTACCTCCCCACTCTGACTCTGGTGAATCCTCTCACTGCTCCAGCACCTCTGGCCTGTATCCCAGTTCTGTATGCATAAATAAATAAATCGTTTAATATCTTTTAAAAAATTACTGTATAAAATCATTGACTTAAGAACACAAATTTCTTCCTTTTTGAAAATGAGTTTTCTGATATCTCAGTATGTCTAACATGGGCAAAAATGAGATTAGAGGCAGTATTAGGAGAAAATCCTAAGAATTTCTATCACTACAGACCAAAATGTCTCCATAAATTGTCTAGAAAACAAATCTGGCATCTAGAATTATCCTTCCTTTCAAAATTCTAAGGTTAAAAATTACCTTTTGGTCCTAGTTCAATAGTCTTTTCATGATCACTGTTTCTGAACTTCAAGGTTTCATTTGATATTGCCAACCACCTTTCCTAGCCTTGATTTTGTGGTTCTCCTTGGAGTGCTTTATATAAAGCCTATAATGTCACCAAAGTTCCAAACCTCAAAGCTGACCCACATCTTACTACTAACTTTCCAACACTCATCTACTCACATGCTTTTATTATCACCTATAATCTACATCACTGCACAATCTACTTTTCATCCCTCTATTCATCTTGCAGCAATGTACTACAGATACCCGTATTATTCTACTCAGTTCTTAATTATCCTCTCTAAGGCTTGCAAACAGTGGTGTGGCTCAACCAAAATATGTCCTGTGCCATTTCTACGCAGGATTGTATGACTTGCAGTGTGGCATATATTTTTTTCCTGAACAGATGTTTTTTGAGTTGTTTTGTTTATATTAATATTAAACTAATCAGCATTCCCAGAATTAAACCAGCAAGAGAACACTCTTAGGAGTAGCAGACTAGCTGCTATTGAAAAACTGTGCACAATCTAGGGCTGTCCATAATCAACCAACCTTGGCTCATTTTCCTTCATAATAATATTTTCCTAATTTCCTCACTATCACCAGTCATCCTTCAAGGATTCTAGGCTTTAATCTTTTAATAGTTTATTTGCTCTCTTCCCTTTGCCCAAATTTAAACACTACCTTCAAATTAACTTTTGCTCACACATACATCTTCTTATATATTCTACACACTCTTCCTTATGCCAGTATAATTTAATGATTAAACGTGTAAGCCAGACTGCCTGGGTTCAATCCTGGCTCTGCTGCTGCTTACAAATTACTTAACCTCTCTGTAAATTCAGTTTCTTCATGAAAATAATAAGACCTAACTATGAAGGCTGTATGAGTTAAATGCATTATTAAGGGCTCAGAACAATGCCTGGCATACAGTGAGTATTCAATGAATTGTTATTCCCACAATCACTACCTTATGTCAGACACTCATCATCCTATTCCTAAAATTCTCCAAAAGCATCTTAATCATCTCCAAAGCCACTCATCTGATTAAAAACCTTCTTTAGGAATAACCTGTATCATCTTACTCCCATTCTTTAAAACCCTCTGTAGTGTCCCATTAAAATAAACCCTATGTCCTTGTAAGTTTTCCACCAATGTACCATCAACAACCCTAAACTCATTTATTAGTATTCACCAATAGCACCAAACTGCTAAAGGTGTATTTTGTACACTGTCTGCATACAGTCCTTCACTCTTCTGGACTATACCTCTTCCCCTCAGAAATTTCTACCTTATACCTTACTTATACCTTTGATTGTGATGGCATTGTTATCCCAGCCAGAAGTTTGATGTTGCTTGGTTACTATGAATGATGTACATTAGGTGTTGTTTCCATGACAGACATGGAAGTATATGAAGAGACCTCAAATTTTATTATTTCGAATAAACAATTTTAAACAATTTTAAATTCAATAACATCTTATATGCCACACATAAGATCTATTTATTCATACAGAATTGGAGTACAGCGGGCAGTGAAAGGCTTCACCAGAGACAGAGTGGGGAGCAGAACCAACTATTTCACACATAGAACAGTATTTAGCAGAAGTACACAAATGGATGGCTGACTAAAATATACTTCAGACTGTATCAGAACATGCTCTATTTTCCACTGCCCCACCCATACTTAGCATAATGAAAGCAGAATCTGTACTTACTTCTTTTACAAAGAATATATTCATAATTATACCAAATAAAATGAAAAATAAAAATATGCTCAGACAATGAACAATATGATAAACAAATCAAAAATAGTGAGAAGTCTACTATCTGGTCATCTAAAAAGTGATTTCAAAATATTAACTTTTTTATTTCACCCAATCTAAAGACTCAAAAAGAGTCAAATTAAACATGTCCCCCCCCCCCAAAAAAAAAATCTGGTAAAGGCATGAGAAAAAACCCAGGATCTCCCACAGCACTAAACCAAAAACAAGATTCCCCTCACCTCCAAAAAGAAAGCAGAGATCCTCAGGTTTATCGAAACAATTTTAAATTCAATAACATCTTATATGCCACACATAAGATCTATTTATTCATACAGAATTGGGGTACAGCGGGCAGTGACAGGCTTCACCAGAGACAGAGTGGGGAGCAGAACAAGCAGATTAACAAAGTCCACTGCTGAGGGGAGCAGCGGGCAGGTCAGTAGAGGTCTGCTGCGCCTTGTGGGTCACCTCCGGAGCTGAGGATCAAACTCGCATTGAAGGGGCTGCCTCCAGCTTGCAGTACTGCGTCCTAACCCACTGCGCCCTAAACCACTGTGCCATCAGTGAGGGCCCCAGAAAAATATTTCTATAAATATTTGCTAAGATGTAGGAGGAATAAAAGGCTTCTCTCACTGCTACTGTGGCCTGTCTGCTGTAAAGGAGCAATCTGTGATCACAGAACAGCAAACCACATTACGTGGAAATCTTAACCTGGAAAAGACCTTAAGGAAAGAAACTACTCAAAGCACATTTCAAAACCAATGTCAAAAAACAGTGCAATAATACTCAATGCGAGGGAAAGTGAAATAAAAGTTCCCTAGAAAGAAGTGATGAAGTGAAACTATTTAGAGCTGCCTTGCAAGTAAAGAGGCATATTAAGATCTCTATAAGATGCACACTTGGTTGACTAGGAAACAAAATGGGAAAAAAAAGTAATGTCAGAAGGGGACAAAAAAGGGGGAGAAAAAAGATGTCCACCAATCTCGAACTGCCCAGCCAGTTCAACTCAGCTCATTGAGAAATCCACCTAAAAACAACAGAGAGGTGGGTTACACAACAGAAAAGCCTTTGCCATCTATACACAAAAAGTAGAACGGAGAAGTGAAAACTATGCACCTCAATGCAACAGCAGCTAGATCTCAGTCTCTCTTCAGGATTAAGCAGTTGGGGGGTGGGGGGTGAGGAAAGAAAAGAACAGCTAGAGGCCCGGAGAGAAAGATGTCAATGAAACTAAGCCCTGTTTTGTCCTCACTGGTCTCAATTTGGCAGAGTACAACTCTTGCTCCTTCCAACTAACCAACTGTCGGCCTCAGCAAAGCTGACCCTAACACCACCTACCACCCGGAGGAAATCACAGAGGAAAAACCACCGGGTCAACAACCCTTTCCACCAGCTGCAAAAATGGAGGGGGAGAGGGGTGCTGGGGAGACACCCTACCACGTGGGCAGGATGCAACACACACAGGACAGCAACACGTCCGCATGGAACCGCGGCCTCGGCCTCAATGCCGGCAAAGGACAAGGCGACAGGATGGGTGGGGAGGCAGGTCCCTCGCACAGGCCTCCCCACCCCGAGGGCACCCCCAAGGCGTGAGGCACTGCCACCTCGTCAGCTGAAAAGCGCCCGCAAGCTGGAAGGGGAGACGCCGCATCGTGGTGGGAAAGGGAGCTCGCTCGGGCCAGGGGACAGATCACCCAGAAGGAGACCACCGCAGTCCTGACTCCGCGCCCCCCGGGAACCACGTCCGGCCTGGGGGAGGGGTGGAGGCGCGGAGTGGCGCTTCCAGGCTGAGGGGCAGCAGCAGCTGAGGAGCGCCGCGGGGGAGGGAGCGACCCAGCCCTCCGCGCTCGCCAGGCCCCAGCCCCGACCCGG